AACTTGATGCCACAGAACAAGAGCGGTAAACTCATCATGTTTCTGTCGTAATTATTACATGAGCATGATTGTCAATCAGTCAGCTGGATATGTGCTTAGTATTTGGATACTCCAAAATCAGAGGCAATGCATTTGTTAAGAATATAAACAGATGGTAATATCCTTCCACTATCTTTACCCATTTCTTGCTTTTTGAGTCACGGAGGTCGCTGGTGCCCATACCCAGCAGTCGTCTTGCAAGAGGCGGGGCACACCCTGGAAGGTTTCCAGTCCATCATGGACACATATATAGAGACAAATGAGAAAAACAACCATTCACTCTCTCACTCACACCTAGGGACAATTTGGAATGACATATTACCCTAACATGCCCAGAGAAAACCCATACATGCATGGAGAGAACATGTAAACTCCACCCAGACAGGCTCCTGGCCAGGATTTGATCTGGTAGCAACAGTTCTACCAACTGCATCACCGTGCTGCCCCTAGATTTTAATATATGGGGGGAAATTAACTTTGTAAATTCTAAGAAAGAAAGAGACAAAAATGAAAAAGTGGACACAAAAGGAGGACATTACTTCAGTTTATAACCAACAGTAAAGAAAACATACATATTTTTGAAATGTGTGAGTTTATTGTAAAGTTCATTGAGCTGTGGTTAAATTATTGTGGTTTTAATCCATAAATTAAGTTGATGGGAAAACAAGCAATGGGATGTTTCTGAGACAGAGCTGAATATTCTAAAACTACACTAAAATAATAATAATAATAATAATTCAATTCAGTTTATTTATATATCGCCAAATCACAACAAAGTTGTCTCAGGGCACTTTACAGGAACATTCACATAAAAGCCAATTAGTAAAGTTCTCTGTCTAAGGAATCCAGCAGACAAGTTGAATCTTGGCTTCGTTGCAGTCTCCCATCCTGAGCAAGCACAGTGGCAACAGTGTGTAACCTGAATCTCTCACTCTCTGCTCTTTGAATTGAGAAAGCTCCTCATCCGAGGAGCTTTCTC